GTCTGTTAAAAGACAATGCTAAGTAGTTACGGGGACGCTACTTTCGACTCAGTGTAATCATCCATCTTCCTACTGTTTTGAATGGCCAATCACACTAACTTAATTCATGAGATTTTGTTTTACTATTATCAATAATTATATTACAAATATGAAAAATGTGAACATAAAAGACAAAAATAATTCTTTGTTTAATAATTTTTTTGGTAAGGGCGCTCCCATGTTGCAGTACCTCAAACGGTGACGTCACAGAGTTGGTCAATGCTTCAGCTAGCAGTTGAATACTTTGGATATACCGGCAATATATCACAACCATACAACACTTAAAAAATTTGGTATGATGGAAGATGAGGCTGAAAGGACACTCAAGCATCTAATTCACATGCTGTTTGACCCCAGCCATAGTAAGGAGAGAGACTTTTGAATCTAGCAAGCTAGTGGTCCATCGGACCTTACCAAAAACGTACCGTTTCATTTCCACTTTAACCCTTCCAGTTATGGTCTACTCCAAAGAATGTTCTCACCTAATAAGAATGTTCAGTGACTTCAGTGCTTATACTGAGTTCATTGACGAGTTATATTGGTTCCTGCAGACTCGAACCAGAAGGTCCTAGCTCTGGATGGCCACATGCTGAACCATTCCTTTTTTGATTTTGAGACATTTTTGATTTATGCTCAATATTGAAGCGTGGTCCGGTTTATATGCTGTGGTTTTAGATACGGCCGAGGCGGTGAGCAAGTGGGGGCGAGTTTAGTCAGACAACGGAGGGACATAAGGGCCAAAAAGAGCGGAGATCCAGGTGGAAAAAGGGTCCCAGCGTTCTCGCGCACCTCGCTCTACTAGCGGGTCAAACTTCACAAGTTGTTTTCCGCAATTTCGGTCATAAAAACAAAAGAAGCCGGTGTCCTGTCTGCGGCACTGTTTGCGATCAGCTACAATTTGGGAGAGGTGCAGCAGAGTTTTTGCGGAGAGGGCGGGGACGTTGACACTCTGGAGCCGAGGTATTGCATTGCACTGATTTTGTGCAGTATTTTTTGATGCAAGGCCTTTCAGAATCTATAACGCCGGGGCATTATTATTTTTCAGTGAATGATGTTTTACTAGGCCTAGGTGGAGTACAATTTTTCTACCTCTGTTAATTGCTGTAGTTTCTCAAATAAAATGCATAATGATAATGCAGCTTTCATTGATTTATTTCAAATTTGAAACATTGTCTAGCCGGTAAGGTAAAAAAAAAAAATAAATAAAAAAATAAAAAAATAACAATTAATCGAATTGAATCGAATCGTGGTGTATTCTTGAAAATCGAAAATAATGGAATCGTTGGGTCAGGAAATCGATACTGAATCGAATCGCCATGATGGGTGTGATTTATACCCTTAGTGGGCATTCGCAAACAAGGATTCTTCTTCTTCCTCTCAGATGAAAACAAAAAAGCATGGAGGGGGTGCGAGTGAAATGGAGTAAAATTAGCAGACCGTAGTAGCCACGTTTGCTCAGCCATGTCTTTGTCCAAATATGTTGTCGCCTTTTCTTTTCAGGGCTTTCAGCACACAAAATTGCACAAATTGCCAAGGCAGCGCGTTTCGCTCTAGAAAGCCTCATATTCCTCTTCTACCTGCTTGGCTTCCGGATAGACGAGTCTGAGTAGCGCCATCTCACTGTGGAGCTGAGTCCGACATGGTTTTTCAGACGTACAGTGTGAGCAGGTAGATCGCATCAGAGCATCGTGCTGCACAATCTGAGAACATACATCTTGAGCTGTAAACTCACACTGTACGACGAAACCCTTTGGTTTCGTCGTACAGTGTGAGCTCTTGAATGAAAAAATCGCACAGCATATGCCCGGCTTCACTGGATGAACTGATGCAGCTATGTGGAGAAACATGGAGGAATCAAAAAAAAAAAAAAAAAAACAATTAATCAAATTGAATCGTATGTGGAGAAACATGGAGGAATCCCTGAGAGCAGGTATCATTCATCCCTCCTCCTCTGCAGTTGATGTAGGTTTCTTCTTTGTAGGAAAAAAGATGGGTCCCAGCATTTATGCATCAATTATATTGGGCTTAATTCCATCACTTTTAAAAATCTTCACCACATAACCATCATGTATTCTGCTTTTGATGTCGTTCAGGGAGCTAGAATCTTCTCCAGGCAGGACCTTGGTGAAGAGTTTGAACCAAGAGGTTTAGATTAAGCTGTGTATCCTTTGTGGTCGAGAACCTGCCAAGTGGTCGCACAACATTTAATATTCTATTAGCTCTCTGCCCTGCAGCAAATCTGGCTTTTCTCCCTTTTATGTGGTTTATGGTTATCAAACACTAGTATTCTCAATCCAAGAAAGGTAGGTCACGGTTCCCTCAGCGCATTCTGCAACTCAGTGGGTTTTGTGAAAGACCAATAATTGACATACCCCTGCTCCTGCATGCCAGGTTAATCAGTAGGTCTTTGGCTGTCCACGTGCAGCTTCCTCACAATATGAGCATTCATCCCATATGTCCAGAGTCAAGCCCTTCATCCAGTCTTGGTTCTGTTGCTGTGTGGATGATGTCACACGCTGCTCCCTCAGCCAAGCTCTGAGCGGTTACACCTGCAGCAGCTCCAATTAACAGGAGTTGCTGCACCTGGTAAGATCACTATATATTCCTGGCTGTTACAGTAGGTAACTTCCATATTCTTTTAAGCCATTTGTGTGAATAGACACTCTAGTCCTCTTTGACTGCCTTTTTGTAATTTAACTTAAGATTGGACTCCTGCATGTTAACTTTACCAGCACATCCTCACTGGTAATTCTAAGCCCTTCCTAACATGGTCAGAAAAATTGCATGCCCCTTGAACCTCTGCAGCTCTCCCTCAGTTCCTAATCATATTGTAAACTCGGATCAACTTTTATTTCTTCAGCATAATATTGAAGGCTTCCGATGCAGGTCCAGCAGATTCCGAAATAGCTTCTTCCCCACCGCCATCAGACAGCTGCACTGTTGAAAAAACTCATGTCATGTCACAGACTCTGCATCAAACTGACAACACCAAACCAAAACAATACAAATTTGCTTCCTCTGAACTTCCATATAAAATTAGTTATTTTGTACCATGTTTTTTTTTTTACCTCCAGACTGTTTACATTTGATCACTACTGCACTTTAAGAAATGGAAATGTCACGAGAGCTGTAGAAAATGAAATTTCGTTTTGTATGCACTGTGTATACAAAATGTCAGTGAAAGTCTAATAATGCTTTTTAAACAAAGATTATGAAAGTGTTGATCAATAATTATCAGCTCATCTGAAATTGCAATAACCATAGTCTATCTTATGGCACCTGCACTGACAATGCACTATGTCATAAAGTTTAAATAGTCTTACAGCTTTTTGTTTTTTTAATAACTGTACATTGTCTCCATACTCAGAAATGTACCCTTTATGTATACATTCATACGCTGATGGTAGTAAGCTACCTGGAGCAGACTGACAAAAGCAAAGCTGTCACATAATCAGCACCACTGGGCCCTCTGATCGTAACACCAACCAAGGTGGGTGTACTGTCTTG